AACTGTAACGATCGTTGGATTTAAAGTGAATCTAAATAATTTTTTCATGAGCATGATTTTTGATACATTATCCAACTTTTGTACGATTTAAAATGAATCATTAAAATAAATTATTCTATGATTTAACCAGACAAAGTCGAAGTTCAAAAATGTTAAAAGAAGCCCCTTTTCCAACGCATTTTATACCCATTTCCCGTGGTTTTGGGCAGTTGAAAAATACACCATTAGAAAGAGGAGGTACTAATTACTATTTTTTTTTATTAAAGTAACATCTTGATTGCTAAACAACTCGTTAAAAACCATGCCCAATCGGGCGTGAACAAGTAGTTCGAAAATGACGAAATTATTACTACGCACTTTCTTTTTAAAACCGGTAAACAACAATGCCTTGCCTGATCTAACTATTTTATCTAGCCCTTGTGCGTCGCACAGGACTAGATATCTAACCCTTTTCTGATCTAACTATTTTATCTAACTCTGTGCGACACACAGGCATACCTGCCAACCTAAGACCAAAATTTTGCGATAGATTTTTTTAAAATTGCTGTATTTTTGCGGTAGATTTTTTCAAAATACGGTAGTTTTTGCGGTATTTTTCAACAAAATTACGGTAGTTTTTGCGGTAGATTTTAAAAAATATGGTAGTTTTTGCGGTAGATTTTTAAAAAATACTGTAGTTTCAGAGGTTTGCGGTAGGAATTTGAAAAAGCGGTAGTTTTGCGGAAGATTTAGAATAAATGCGGTAGTTTAACGGTAGATTTAAAAAATGCGGTAATTTTTACATTAATTTTTTTGAAAAAAACGGTAGTTTTGCGAAAGATTCTGAAAAAATGGGGTAGTTTTACGGTAGATTTTGAAAAAATGCGGTAGTTTTTTTAAAAAAACCGGTAGTTTTGCGGAAAATTTTGAAAAAATGCGGTAGTTTAACGGTAGATTTCGAAAATTGCGGTAGTTTTTACAGTAATTTTTGGAAAAAACTGTACTTTTGCGGAAGATTTTGAAAAAATGCCGTAATTTTACGGTAGATTTTGAAACTTGCAGTAGTTTTTACGGTAATTTTTTGAAAAACTGGTACTCTTGCCAAAGATTTGCCAAAATGCAGTATTTTTCGGTAGATTTTGAAAAATGCGGTAGTTAAACCTTTATACAATGCGGTTTTCTATATTAATACAATGTTTACGTGGTCATATTGTTTTTGTTATTGTGAATACATATTTTACTGCAAGAGTGCTTTTGATAATTACAGTTTGTAAAGCAGAACTACCACCTGAGAATTATACGAAACTATTATTTTCAAGAAAAAATAGATATACTATTTTCAAGAATAAATAGAGACTAAACACTTTTTATTCTTCATTTACCATGCCTACAATGGACTGACAGCAACTTTGGATTTTAATGTTTCAGCAAAATGTACTTTTTTACAATAAATCTAGATTGATTCAAAATACGAACACAATATTCATATCTCCACTTTTATTCACCTTCTAACCAGTTTTTTTAGATATCAGGATGTTTGGAAATACCAATGAAACATTTACTGAAATACAAAATATTAGAGGTGTGCACCGATTGCACATTACTTAATCGATCAACGAAACATATTAATCGATTAATCATCGGTTAATCGACCCCAGCATAAACTGATAACGTATGCATGGATATCTGACACAAACTTGATTTTTCGGTAACTTTCTTGTGGGCGATAAATCGATAATTCGAGAGTTATTTTCCCTCACCTTTTCTCAAGTTTTCCTTGCAAATTCCCATTCAGGTGTATTGGTAGTATCAAGGTATATATTTCTGAATTCCAGACGATTTTTACAATAAAAAATAGAATACAATAGAAACGGGTCACGACAATCTGACAAGAAATGAAGTTATTGGCGACGTCGGAGTATTTATTTTCGGAGTTTCCCCGTGTACATTTGACAAGTGGAAGTTTAGAGTAGATGTACTGTTTAAATATTTGTATTAGTTTTGCAGAGCACACATTTGACGCAATCATCGTCTTCTTTGTTGAAATGTTTCCATAAATAACTTCTTTTTCCTGGTGTTGTCGCCATTTTTCGACCGCTTCTGAACTGAATAAAATTGGGACGGTTGCATTCAAATTATACACCACTATTCACCTTGAATTTGATCGCATACTTCTACTGAATAAACCAATGGGATGTATTGGATTAGTATTAAACTCAAAAACAACAAAGGTCACAGGTAAGCGTCAGTCTTAGGGTAATCAGTTTGTTTGGTAGTTTGAGCTTGGCGTGGCAACCTGACATTCACTGCTCAATCAGTCAGTGACGTCACGTAAGCTTACTCGCGGCGGGATATTGAAGATTAACTTTTTGAGAATCAGTTAATTGAGTAATAAGAATCTTATTCGATTAAATGCGTGTCGATCAATTAATCGATGATCGATTAAAAATTCACACCTCTACAAAATATGGATTTTACACGTTTTTACTCATCATCTAGATGATCTATCACTTTAACGAATTGAAATGACAGACATAATGTTCATATAACATTCGAATCATATGGTATTAAATATTGATTTGTTCACTCGCAAGTCTCTAATGATATCAATGTGTTGGTCTGGCACAAATAGAAAATAAGTACAGATCAATTGTCTTTCAAAAATAATATGTTATGAGCATTTGCTGAAACCTTTCCCCTGAGACATCGTTCAGATTCGGATATCACAATACTTTTATAATAAACCCAAACTCAATGCTTTATTTTTTAATTATGTATTTGTTACTGATATAATGTGTTCTGATGAAAAATACAACATTTTATCGTACTGTAAACAAATTGATTTAACAAATCAAACTACGCATATTTCATACGCTAAAACAATATTTTGAGTCGGTACGCACACACGGAGATGCCTGATTGCGTGGCCGATTTGCTTCCCCGGGAAATTTTTTTCAATTACGTTATTTGATGGAATCTAAGCGTTTTTATCAACTTTAAATGTTGACAATCGTAAAAATACAGACACGGTAGGAAGCATCAATAAATTCGCAAATAAATTAATGCATTTTAACAAATTTTTATTTTTTTCAAATTCATTTGGTACGCCTGAGCGTATTTTGTGTAATAGGCGCTACGCTCATATCTGTGTACAAAAGGGTTTGGTTAACTACAAAAATCATGGCAGAACGAATTCTTTCTAGCTAGTGGTAGTTGGTGTTTGGACGCAAGCTTACACGCAAGCTTACTTAGATAAATGCGCAATAACCTGATAACCACAGACCTGCCGATACCTATTTATATTCGGGTTGGTGAAGAAATATTACAGGGACAGTACAGGAAGACTTCCATTTTTCAGCATTTCCCAACAATAACGGGAAATTTTACGGTAGTTTGAACAAAAGTACGGTAGATTTTCGAAAATTTACGGTAGATTTTCAAAAGTTTACGGTAGATTTTACGGCCGTTCTCATGGAATAAAGGAGTTTTAAAAAAAAAATTTTACGGTAGATTTCGAAAAAAATACGGTAGATTTTTTTACGGGCGTTTTTATGGGAAAAAGATGGTATTTTTTTACGGTAGTTTGTCATTTTTTTACGGAAAAACGAAAAATTTACGGTAGATTCCCGTAAAAATACGGTAGGTTGTCAGGTATGCACAGGGCTAGATATCTAACCCTCTTCTGATCTAACTATTTTATCTAACCCTTGTGCCATCCACAGGGTTAGATATCTAACTCAGTGAATATTTCAAACTTTTCATTTAGGGTTAGAACACTTTTGGATCATATAATAAGTTTATACCAGATTCCCACCGATATATATGTAATATAGTAATTATTCTCATTTCATTTCTCAACTCCATATGATTACTATTTTCAGCTATCCAGTTAGATGACAGCCTCATGCAGTCTAATACAACAATGATTAAGAGGAAAAAGAGAGAAGCTGAGCAAGAAGAACTGACAAAGAAGAAAAAGAAAGTTGTCACTCCATCAAGGGTATGTATACATACAAGAAATATTAAAAGTAGTGATAACATACCTTCCAACTATAAAAGACAAATTTTTTGAAAAAATCAGCATTCATTTTCTGAAAAATTGATTTGCAGAAAAAACTGGGAGAAAATATTTATTTGGAACCTCGGTTAACATTTAGCATGCTCTAGTCAAATCTTATTTCCATCTATCAATTTTTTGAAAAATAATTCAAATTTGAATATCCATTATCGGCTTTCAAAAGCCCAGATAGCTGTAAATTCAAATCGAAAATGTGGTTCCTGTAGGATGCTAAAGGTTAAATAAATCTACTTTAATATTTCAGGATGTGCTTAGAGTTGTCGGACAAAGCAGGCTAAAGGAGGTCAATTTAAATTATTTTGGTGAAACACCTTGTGCTCCTTGAATTGGTGACTTAAATCCAGATCTACTTCAGCAGATTCTTAAGCAGATTCTTAAGCAGGTTGGAAAAGGTAAACATTGTTATTGAATAACTCAAATGCGTGTAGGTAGTTACCCAGTTTCACCATTTCAAAGGTTATAAATGTTATATGTTTTATTAGTATATATTTGTTGTATCATGTCACCAAATGATAAGGTATTTATTAAAATATGTCTTGTTTGATGGGATTTGCTTCTCTGTGGAGTTGCTGTTTTCTAGTTCAAAGATGTAGTCAGTCTGATGTTTTACCTTAGGTGCGCTTACAAAGGCTCTGGTGGATATGGGTGGACCTGTGAAAGGGACTGAGGCTAGACCAGCAAGTTTGGAGGCTGAATCCACCATGGGAATGGAGGCAACATCCAGTATCAAGGCTGAACCCGCCAGTATCAAGGCTGAACCCGCCACGGGAGAGGAGGCAACACCAGTGGGTAATGAGGCTGAATCCGCCACGGGAATGAAGGAGGCAACATCTAGTATCGAGACGAACCCGCCACGGGAATGAAGGAGGCAACATCTAGTATCGAGGCTGAACCCGCCACGGGAGAGGAGGCAACACCAGCGGGAATTGAGGCTTAATCCGCAATGGGAATAAAGGAGGCAACATCCAGTATCGAGGCTGAGCCCGGCACGGGAGAGGAGGCAGCACCAGCTGGTATTGAGGCTGAATCTGCCACAGGAATGAAGGAGGCAACATCTAGTATTGAGGCTGAACCTGCCACGGGAGAGGAGGCAACACCAGCGGGTATTGAGGCTGAATCCGCCACAGGAATGTAGGAGGCAACATCTAGTATCGAGGCTGAACCCGCCACGGGAGAGGAAGCAACACCAGCGGGTATTGAGGCTGAATCCGCCACAGGAATGAAGGAGGCAACATCTAGTATCGAGGCTGAACCCGCCATGGGAGAGGAGGCAACACCAGCAGGTTTTGATGCTGAATCCTCCAGGGAATGAAGGAGGCAACATCCAGTATCAAGGCTGAACCCGCCATGGGAGAGGAGGCAACACCAGCGGGTATTGAGGCTGAATCCGCCACGGGAATGAAGGAGGCAACATCTAGTATTGAGGCTGAACCCGCCATGGGGGAGGAGGCAACACCAGCGTGTATTGAGGCTGAATCCGCCACGGGAATGAAGGAGGCAACATCTAGTATCGAGGCTGAACCCACCACAGGAGAGGAGGCAACACCAGCGGGTATTGAGGCTAAACCTGCCATGGGAGGAGAGGAGGCAACACAGGTGTACAGTGACTGTTAGTTAATAATCTTCGAATTTGATTTTAATTTTTTGGTAGGGATAGACTCGATTACTAGGAGATTAATTTTCTTCAATTTGTTGGAAAGATGTACTAACATAGTAAATTTGTGATTTCAGTAGTTCTTTGCAACAGAAAAAAATTCAAAATGGCAACTGTTTTATAAATGATTGTAATTTTTGCAAATATCTAAGTAGACTATTTCATTTTCCTTGATTCTGAGATCTCTCTAAAGTATTGCTATATTGTGGTGAAAAATTAATTTTAGCATTTTCGTTCCACAAAAGCCGGTTGGATATAAAATGCCCGAAATACATTTTTCCAGTACAGTGCACTAGTGCTCTGACAAATTTAGTTATCACACCTTATTAACACATATTTCTGCCTTAGGTGAGTAGAATAGGGTTTATTATCCCATCGAACAAAGTTTTGAGGGATATAAGGAACGCCTCCATCCGTACGTACGTACGTCCGTCCGGCCGGCCGGGCGGGCAATAACTCAAATACCCTTGGCCCGATTTTGTTCATATTTTGTACACATATACCCTATGGGGGTAGAAGTTCTGCTCGAAAGCCGATTTTTAAAATGGCCACTCATTTTAAAATGGCGGCCATTTTAGTGACGATTTTACAGTAATTTAGGTGCAATATGTAAAACTGCAATAGCAATATGTTTTAAATGTAAAAAAATTATAAAGGACATTAATAATGCTACAAATGTAGATATTGAAGAAGCACATGGCAGCCATCTTGAAAAATGGCGGCCTTTACTTGTCATTTTACGATTTTTGCTGTAACTCAAAAAATAGTGGAGCAATTTTGTTCATATTTGGTATGTGAATACTATAAGCATTGCACACTGTCTAAAGACACTTTTGGTAGAAGGCGGCCATTTTGAAATAAATTTTTAAAATGGCCGCCATTTTAACATATTTCACTATAACTCGAAAAGTAGTGGAGCGATTTTGTTCATTTTTGGTATGTGAATACTTTAAGCATTGGACACTGTCCTTTGACACTTTTGGTAGAAGGCGGCCATTTTGAAAACAATTTTGAAAAATGGCCGCCATTTTAACGTATTTCACTATAATTTGAAAAGTAGGGGAGTGATTTTGTTCATATTTGGTATGTGAATACTATAAGCATGGCACACTGTCTATTTCTAATGACGCTTTTGGTAGAAGGTGGCCATTTTGAAAAATGGCCGCCATTTTAACGTATTTTACCATAACTCGAAAAGTAGTGGAGCGATTTGATTTTGTTCATATTTGATATGTGAATACTTTAAGCATGGCATATTGTCTAATAAAACTTTGGTGAGCAGTCGGCCATTTTTCAAAATGGCCACCATTTTTATGTATGTTATTTTGCAAGTACGTGTGTGATTTTTCAAAAATTTTAGAGGTGGCTACTTAAAAGCATATTATTTCTTCTGATGACAACTTGGCTAATGAGCAACCATTTTGAAAATGGTGGCCTTTCTGGTGTGTTGTTTTATGATATTTGCGCTTCGTTTGTAAAAATGCCAGCCATTTCCGTTCGATGGGATTCGCTACGCTTTGGCGTTGCCGTTGTTCTGGTTAGTATCTAGAGTTTATACATAACTTCAGTTTCGATCAATCGCGAGTCTGGTTTGTCTATTTTAGTGCACTTTAATTCTACGTTTCCATTTTCGTGAATTCAAATTGCCCGCATCTGGTACTTTATTAAATCACATTTCTCATGATTCTTTCATGTAGATTCTTTCTGTTATTACATCCAATGTTTAATATTTAATCGTAGTTCTGAAAATAGATTCTAATTTTACGTAATATTTGTGATCTTAATTCATATTGTTGGGCCATAGATACAGCAATTACAAAATTTCATATTATCGCCCATTGGGGAACCTCACCAGCATACTAACCTAGTTTTTGGCAGTATTAACCAATCAGATTTATGCAGTCCAAAACGTCCGCACGGGGCATATAAATGGAATTTGACCGGTTTGTCAAGTTGTTGTGCGACAAAGAATTAGAGACTGAAACAGCTTCGGAGACGTAAGTAGGAATATTTTGTTGAGTAATTGACGAAGGATTTTCGATCAAATATCATCACAGTTTGTCCGTTTCTTTTAGCCTGGACATTTTGTGCATTGTTTTAGAGATTCAAATCGGATTGTATCTATTACTATATTTGCCGAGATTGTATGTGTATTTTTATTCATTAATTTTACCAACATTGTTATTTGGGAGAGTTGCAACCAATTTTGCAACCCCATATTGGTGCAATGGATATTTGCACCAAAATAATCAACAGAAGGACACTTGGGAGAGTTGCACCAAATTTTGCAACCCAATATCGGTGCAAGGGATATTTGCACCCAAAATAAACCACGGAAGGACACTTGGGAGAGTTGCAACCAATTTTGCAACCCCATATTGGTGCAACGGATATTTGCACACAAAATAATCAACAGAAAAACATTTTGGAGAGTTGCAACCAACTTTGCAACCCCATATAGGTGCAACCCCATATAGGTGCAACCCCATATCGGTGCAAGGGATATTTGCACCCAAAATAAACCACGGAAGGAAACTTGGGAGAGTTGCAACCAATTTTGCAACCCAATATTGGTGCAATGGATATTTGCACACAAAATGATCAACAGAAGGACATTTTGGAGAGTTGCAACCAACTTTGTAACCCCATATAGGTGTAAGGGATATTTGCACCCATTATAACCATTTGGGAGAGTTGCAACCAACTTTGCAATCCCATATTGGTGCAAGGGATATTTGCACCCAAAATAATCAATGGAAGGACATTTGGGAGAGTTGCAATTAACTTTGCAACCCTATATCAGTGCAAGGGGTATTTGCACCCATTATAACCATTTGGGAGAGTTGCAACCAACTTTGCAACCCCATATTGGTGCAACGGATATTTGCACACAAAATAATCAATTCAAGGACATTCGGAAGAGTTGCAACCAATTTTGCAACCTCATATCGGTGCAAGGGATATTTGCACCCAAAATAAAACCACGGAAGGACACTTGGAAGAGTTGCAACCAATTTTGCAACCTCATATCGGTGCAAGGGATATTTGCACCCAAAATAATCAACGGAAGGACATTTGGGAGAGTTGCAATTAACTTTGCAACCCCATATCGGTGCAAGGAGTATTTGCACCCATTATAACCATTTTGGAGAGTTGCAACCAACTTTGCAACCCCATATAGGTGTAAGGGATATTTGCACCCATTATAACCATTTGGGAGAGTTGCAACCAACTTTGCAACCCCATATTGGTGCAACGGATATTTGCACACAAAATAATCAATTCAAGGACATTTAGAAGAGTTGCAACCAATTTTGCAACCCCATATCGGTGCAAGGGATATTTGCACCCAAAATAAAACCACAGAAGGACACTTGGAAGAGTTGCAACCAATTTTGCAACTCTATATCAGTGCAAGGGATATTTGCACCCAAAATAACCAACGGAAGGACATTTGGGAGAGATGCAATTAACTTTGCAATCCCATATCGGTGCAAGGAGTATTTGCACCCATTATAACCATTTGGGAGAGTTGCAACCAACTTTGCAACCCCATATAGGTGTAAGGGATATTTTCACCCATTATAACCATTTGGGAGAGTTGCAACCAACTTTGCAACCCCATACAGGTGCAAGGGACATTTGCACCCACAATAATCAATTTAGGGACATTTGCACCCGGTTGCACACTGTATAAAGGATTTTAGGGATATTTGCCCCAGGTTGCACCTTTAAAAGACATTTGCACCTGGTTGCAACTCGGATAAAGAATTTTAAGGATACTTGCACCAGGTTGCACCCATAAAGGACATTTGCACCTGGTTGCAACTCGGATAAAGGATTTTAAGGATACTTCCACCAGGTTGCACCCATAAAGGACATTTTCGCCTGGTTGCAACTCAGATCAAGGATTTTAAGGATACTTGCACCAGGTTGCACCCTTAAAGGACATTTGCACCTGGTTGCAACTTGGATAAAAGAATTGAACGACATTTGCACCTGGTTGCAACTTAAATAAAGGATTTTAAGGATACTTGCACCAAGTTGCACCCATAAAGGACATTTGCACCTGGTTGCTACTCAGATAAAGGTTTTTAAGGATACTTGCACCAGGTTGCACCCATAAAGGACATTTGCACCTGGTTGCAACTTGGATTAAGGAATTTAAGGATACTTGCACCCATAGTGGACATTTCCACCCGGTTGCACACTGTATAAAGGATTTTAGGGATACTTGCACCAGGTTGCACCCTTAAGGGACATTTGCACCTGGTTGCAACTCGGATTAAGGATTTTAAGGATACTTGCACCAGGTTGCACCCATAAAGGACATTGGGCACCTGGTTGCAACTCAGATAAAGGATTTTAAGGATACTTGCACCAGGTTGCACCCATAAAGGACATTTGCACCTGGCTGCAACTTGGATAAAGGAATTGAAGGACATTTGCACCTGGTTGCAACTCGGATAAAGGATTTTAAGGATACTTGCACCAGGTTGCACCCATAAAGGACATTTGCACCTGGTTGCAACTTGGATTAAGGAATTTAAGGATACTTGCACCCCATAGCGGACATTTGCACCCGGTTGCACACTGTATAAAGGATTTTAAGGATACTTGCACCCATAGCGGACATTTGCACCCGGTTGCACACTTTATAAAGGAATTGAAGGAGATTTGCACCTCGGATAACGAAAATAAAGGATGTTTGCACCTCATTGCAACTTGGATAAAGGAATTTAAGGATACTTGCACGAGGTTGCACATTAATAAACTTGATTAGTTGACAGTTGAGTCCCGTGGCCAGGAGCGCCATTTTATTTCAGGACAGACAAAAGAATACAAAGGGCAGCATCCCACAACTGCTGAAGAAGACCCAAATATAGACATCTAGTGTTATAGTGATTGTTTAATATGAGTTTATGATTACTTTATGTAGTGACTTTAGAGACATTCAAATGATATCACCTTTTGATCTTGCTTTCTTATAGTGACTTTAGAGACATTCAAGTGATATCACCTTTTGATCTTGCTTTCTTATAGTAACTTTAGAGACATTCAAGTGATATCACATGTTTTTCTGCCTTAAGGCATTCGTGATTGTATAGTTTAGTGTAGTATGAGTTTGACTTTGTACATAATTTTCTATTGTTTCTAAAGCATTGTTTGTAACTGTTTTGGCTCATAAAGAGCAAATATATAACTTGACTTTTATTTTGTACTTGAATGTTCATTGTTATATTGTAGTGAGTTCCAGAGGGAACTTGTATAGTGCAAACCCAGATTGCGTAATACTTTCTTTCCCCTTGCATTCCCTTGGAGTGACATATCAGGCGAATCTAATCTAATTAAGAGTAGATTGCAAGTTTTATAATGACATTAGAAAATTCAAAATTCTGATATTTCTCGTTATTATATATTTCAAATCTTTGTATATTACAGATGAGGCTTCTGAGTTTGACACAACCGTCTCTGGGATCGAGATCAAGGATCTTGTGACAAGGGAGCTCCACATATTGAATGGGATAACCAGTGGCGAGATAAAATGTTTTACTTTGTAACTTGTTTTTGAGAAATATAAGTTCTTAAAATACTTTATGGCAAATGATTACAGATACAGGGTGTCCAATAAATAAGGTAAAAGATATTGTAACTTCCTAATATTG